CAATATAAAAAGAAAAACAATATTGTACGTACGAGTGTCAAAACGGAGATTTTGCGATTGACGCCATGGATGTTTCGCAACGTTTAGTATTTTTTTGAATGAACAAGAAAGGTAAACAAGAGTTGCATATATTCAGACATATTCAAAGAGATTGGTTTAAAAAAAAAATATAAACGTTTCTTATATATTTCTTTGTTTGAAATAGAAATGTTGATTTCATAATTTCTCATTTCTTGTCTATAGTACATAGTTCTTTTTTCATTTAATAATTTCCTGATAAAAAAGACTTTCAATTTCAACCTTTCCTATAATATATTGAGTCATGAGTAAGTCTCGTTTTGAGGAACCAATTGTAATGACGCATGCATCATCCTTCAGTCAAACCCAAATACAAGTCTAGGCGATCATGTAACTTGCATGACTGACGAGGCAGATTTTTTTTCCCGCAGTACATTGCCATTTCTTTCTGCGGTAGACTAGTTGCCATATTCAAGACTATAGAACCCGGTATGTCCTGCTATTTACCCATAACTGGGGGAGAAGAAGAGGATTCATACCTTTCCCAAGGGTATTAGCACATAAGTGAATGTAATTGATTCGACTGAAATTCAAACTCGGCTCTCCGATTCCTCAATCCGAGCCGCTTACTTCACCGGGCATCATCCTTACCGTTTCATAAATATATCATAACAGATGATGAAAAGGAGATTGTATACAACAATATTCGATACAAAAGCAATTCATAATTCATCCCAAAGGCTTAGCTCCATAGAAGAAAGATAATGTTGCTCTTCTGGTGCAATCGTCAGTGTATTTTTCATTTAAAGTTGTTAAAACGCAACGAAATACTTAATGGACATGCATACGTCCAGCAGATGTAAAGTGTTCATAAAGGTTTGTTGAAAAGCAACCTGGGTTCGTCAATAGAGAAAATGGCTATTCTCCTTCATAATAAGATAAGGCCGCATACAGCAAAAAACTCTCTTCTCTCATGAGTTAAATATTCACTCAAAAAAAAAATTATTATTCTTATAATGCACGATATTTTCAGCTTTAAATGACCCACGAAAGGTTGGTTAGCCGTAAAAAAACAATCAAAAATCCTACAATCAGCATACAATAAGGTCAACACAAGAAAACATTTTGAAACTCTGTTGGTCTGTTCTATCTCACGCGCCATATTCACCTGACTTTGTACCAACGATTTAATGAAGAAACATTTCTCTAATGAAAACAAGAGTTCACCGAAAACTTCTCCACATGAAAACCTGAAAAGTTCGCGTATGAACACAAAAAATTAAATAAAAAACTTAATCGCAGTACATTGTCAGAAGTCGTTAACAAAATTTATATAAAAGAGGGATTGATGTGCAAACACAAATATATATATATATATATATATATATATATATATATATATATATATATATATATATATATATATATATATATATTCATTCATTTGTGTGAAGGAGACTCAGAATGAATGCAGCAACCAGGCAACTGGATATATTATACTGAATATAAATATTACTATAATGGTATATATTTTTATTATTGATGTTTGATATAATACTTACTTACAAATATTGTAATATGCATATGTTTATAGTTTTCCTGGATCGTTTATTCAGTTATATGTATGATGATTGTTTCATTTATAGACCAAAATATTGAGATCACAGACCAGAAGGTTATCCGCAACCATGATGATATTGGCCTGGAGGAAGCACCTCTTTGTTCTACATGAAAACTGTCAATCTTTTCTATTGACTTACCTGGATGGATATAGCTATATCACCTGTATCACCTACATGAAGGTTAACAACCATTTATTATTATATTATATATTCAATACTTTCTAATGAATATCTTTCAAAAACATAGTACAATTTTGGCAGTTACTTCCAAACGCAGTCAACACGACGGATATTTCTGCTAGTGTACACACACAAACACACACACACACACACACATATATATATATATATATATATATATATATATATAAGAAGGTGAGAGAGAGATTGAGAGATATAGGCAAACAGACAAAAGCTAGACAATCTGAAAGTCAAGAAGAAATTAAAATTCGACGTAGCATGGATACTCAGCGGACTGCAGCTGCCAGACAATAAGAAACTCCAGAAATAAGAGAGAGGAGACTCAGAATGAATACTCGACGGAATACAGCAACCAGGCAACTGGAAAGATTATACTGAATATAAACATTAATATAATGATATATTTTTGTATTTTTGCTGCTTGATATAATACTTATTTACAAATATTGCAATATGCATTTTGTTTATAGTTTTCCTCAATCTCTTATTTAGTTATACATGTAGTTATATATATATATATATATATATATATGTTTCATTTATAGTACAAAATATCATAGACCAGAATGTTATATGCAACCATGATGATATTGGCCTGGAGGAAGCACTTTTTGTTCTACATGAAAACTCTCAATTCTTTCTATTGCGTTTCCTGGATGCATATAGATGTATCATCTACATGGATGTTAACATACATTTATCATTAATTATTGTTCAATAATCTTTAATCAATATCTTTCAAAACCTTAGTACAATTTTGGCAGCTTCTTCCAAACACAGTCAACGACGAGTATTTTTACTATATATATATATATATATATATATATATATATATATATATATATATATATATATATATGTGTGTGTGTGTGTGTGTGTGTGTGTATATATATATATATATATATATATATATAATGCCCTCGGTAAACGACGTACGGATTCCAGTCTCTCTCTTTCTCTGCAAGCAACTAACGAGTGATTTTTTCACCGGGATGCAAAAATCTTTATTCGCGCGTCCACGTGAAGGCATCCAATGTGCAAGTATTAAAAACAGTGTAATATAAATTATAATATTATATTTTACATACATTCGTATATATATATGTGTGTGTGTAAGTATGTATATCTGTATTCTGCATACATGCGTGCACTACCATAAATTGAGACGATCTCGTTCTTTGACTTTTTTTAGTATTTGGTTTTGTTATTTTGTTTTTTGTTTTTTTTTTATTGGTGGGGGTTCGTATCAATTACATTTCACAGACCCTCATCTTCAAAACGTGAAGATGCATCATGGTGTGCTAAGCCTGTCTTTATTGGCTGTTTTTCCCTGTACAACTGATGGTATATTCGCCTATGTCCTTGAAATAACACGGAAAGGTCGCCATTTCTCGCAAATAAATATCGGTCACGCAAGGCCCAGTATGAATTCCCGCTTTGATATTTTACCAATTTCCAAAACAATTTATAATTTTCTAATTAATGTTTCCCATTTCGAATGTTACCCGGATCTTATCTACAGACGGACAAAAGACACCTCAGCCACATCATCCCCCTTTCTGGTACCCACTTTTTATCCATCCTAATTTCTACGTTCTTCGATTTTTCTGACTTGTCCCCATAAATTTCCACATTTTTTATATTTTATTTTCATTATTTGTTTGGATATAAAATGTTTCAGGGAAAGAATTTAATTACGTCTATAAGGCTGTTTACGCCTATTTCTAATATAAATTTCTCATACTAAATTTATCTAATACAAGGCTCGAGAGACACTCAAAGTAGAGGCTTACTCTTAAAATTGTTACTTTAATGAGTTGCGTTAATCCAAGTGGAAATTGTCGGAAGTGAAGATTACGAGGCGTTGGTTAGATAACAAGTAACCCTTGATGGGAAGAGGTTAATATTGTTGTGTTTAGGGAAGCATCTATGAAGGAGTCTATTCCGCAAAAAAAGCTGCCTGAGTGGAACTTTTTCCTTGTAATTGGAATACGAGGAAAATGAGGGTGATTCGACTCGGTCGAAGCAGTATGTCGTGTTCTAGCTCTAAAGGTCTGAAATAGTGGAACTAAAGAATGGAACTCAAGTAAACCATGATTTCCCACTGCCTGATGAGACACGTGAATTTAGATAAGAATCTTTTGCGCTTATAAACTGAGAGCAAACGATATTGGCTCTAACAGTTTAACTCAAGACAATTTTCAGACGAGCTACATTCTTACTTTCACTAGTTCAGACCTTTACAACTAAAACTCGTCATGCTACGCACACAAGATCGAATCCTCCCCATTTCCTTCGTATTCCACTGATAAGAAGAACGTTCTACTCAGTCAAATTCTTCCTGAGAAATGATACTTTGCAGAACCGACTCCCGAAGGGAGGATTCGCCGATCATTACAATCTTAACCATTTTATGTCTAGGGTCAACTGATATCTCTCCTATATACCCTCATAATCTACCCTTATTTTCTCCTTTTACGTCCCTTTCAGCAACTTGAGTAGATCTTAGGACTTGTATTGGGTGAACATTTAATAAAAAAAAATGATAAAACACACGAGAAAGATATACGAAGATTTAATAATACTTGGTTCAATAATAAATTTAATCAAACAGAAAGTCTATTTATTTACTTATTTCTGTTTACGATCATCTATAACTATATATATTTCTAGTAAGACAATTCTATCTCTGGACTAACGTGAGACAAAATAACAACCTTGTCTTGCGTGACGTGTCCCTCTTATCAGTTTTCGTTTGAAAATAATTTATGGTGATTCAGCAATCGCGAATAATCTTTATCTTTTTTTCGAGAAAACATTAGAAAATATTTATATTTTCAATTTGCCTTCTTTAAGAAATGATGAATTCTGTTTAGGGTTTTAAGCTGATTATCCAAAGAACTTTGCGAATCAGTGATAGAGGCTTTGATGAGCAAACAGTCGATAGTCAATCTTTTTCAAATTGGACGCTCCTTGAACATCGAAGCTTCAGAATGTGTGACTCAGTTTAACAAATATCTATGATATACATATTTTATACACATTTCAGTATACCGTCTCATCATTTTATATGGATTCTTTATTTATATTTAATATCGGATGTTTTATTTATATAATAATGATTTCTAAAATGTTGATTCTTTCCTTGCAAGGAGGGCTTCCGGCCATATCACGTTGAAACACCGGCTCTCGTACGAGCACCGAAGATAAACAACGTCGGACTTGGTCAGTACTTAAATGGGTGACCGCTTAGGTTGGTTGGTTTTGTTTAGCGGCATATCAACCTTTATGGGTTATTTAGTGCTGAGATCTAAATATTTTGAACACAATTTTATGGCTTCAACTGAATATATTTCGAGCGCAATTGTATACCTTTGTTATACCAGAACATTACCTATTCTACAGATAATAAGTAGTAGTAGCAGTGGCCAGTTGAGCTCAGTGGAGTTGAGTGAGTCAGTCGATGTCGGACATTGAAGTATCAACCATCACAACTAGATTGCTGCGTCATTAATTATTATTGCAAGTTCCTAACGTTTTGTATGTCGGACCCTTTTAGGACCGACTTATTGAAATACAAGCCTCCACTGTAAAAACTATTCTACAACACATTGGCGACAAGGAATTCGTAATTCATACGGAGAAAGAAAAAAAGATTTTTCGTACGCCTTACAACAACCTTAAACTACAGAGAAGAAGTATTTTTGGTCATTTTGCTATAAATAGGTATTTTTACTAGTTTTTACTATAAATATGTATTATTGGTAATTTTTACTATAAATAGGCAATTTTGGTAATTTTTGCTGAAAATAGGTAATGTTGGTAATTTGTGCTGGTATATTTTTTTATTGCTGGTATATTATAATATAAAATATATTGCTGGTATTTCTACTATAAAAACGTATTTCATACTTTCAAAGTGTTTTGTTTTCTGTTTGATAGTTCACTATTTGCCCATAGCTAGCACCCTAACGGATGCTACCACCTCAGGTTAGGGTGGACCTGGGAACAACGACAATTAAGAGGTTGTTCTATGCTCCTCTAAACCTCGAATCTCCCGCTCAGAGACTTTGCTGCTGGATGGAGTTTACCGTGACCGCTTGAGAATACCAGGTGCAGCAAGCTTGAATATGTGGGTTGTGTAATGGATAACGACTCGGGGTTGGAAATCGGAGTGCCGAATTCCATTTCCAATCGTGTTCGATACATTGACTTATGCGCAAATACCATTGGGAAAAGTAGGGATCCACCTTTCCCCAACTATGGGTTAATTCGGACTTCTTTCAGTAAATCATTATTATCTGAAACAGTTCTTACTATCCCAAATTATTTTTTGGCTTTAAATAACCTGAAAAGGATTGGTAAACTGTAAAAAACAAATCAATCAAAGTCAGTCATCTAGAAGTCATTATCATACAAAAGAAACAACCTACATTAAATAAAATATCTTTCTTCATATGAGACATTATACAGAAGTATGCATAAAATATTGAATGTGTATAAAATATTTAATATAGATTCAAAACAGCACGTATATATATATACACACAAATGTAAAAGAACAAAAAGAATATAAATTCAAAGGTTCAGAACATTAATTTATAAAAGGGCTCAATACAAGAGTACAGCAATAAGTATTTATTATAACCTAAACGACACGTCTTTAGACGTTGAAACAAATATGCATTTGTGTCGTGGTAACTTGCGTGTTCCAATGTAACAGGTTATAATACATACACACACACACACACACACACACACACATATATATATATATATATATATATATATATATATATATATATATATATATATATATGAGATGAGAATGAATAGAGTACAATTCCGACGTTAGTAACATTCAGTTAAAAAGAGGGCTCAATACAGAGTTGTGCAATATTATTTAGTTTTGGGATATCACATCGAAAACAATTGCAGTCGTGTTTCAACACATATCAATGCGTCTCGTCAAACTATTGCGAATTACTGGCGAGTGAACGATTCATGTGGATTTAAAAACAAAATCCAACCTCTTTTTTGGAAAAAAAAAGTAATACGGCTTGAGGGCTTTACCCTGATCAACCAATCAAATATGACCTACGTTAAATTTGAAGTAAGCAAAGAAGCAAAAATTAAAATTAAAAATTATTTTTTAGGTCATAACCCGAAGATTGACAGCTAAAACCAGCCAGACATTAACTTAAAACTGATATATATGGTTACATAAATTATACAAACAAGACATTCTATTTTCCTAAAAAATAAAAGGGAGATAGAGAGGTAGTTTAACTAAATACTAAACAAGTTATATGCTTTGTGAATTTCCTACATAAAATTTTTTGTAGTTGATATATAAATAGCTTGTTTCAGAAACTAGTAAATCATTTAAATGTATATAATTATTTGGTAAATAAAGATTCTTCACATAAGATGTTAATAACACTAACTAATCAATGTAAAATGTCAAAAATACCAATACATTCGTACAAGATGTTACTAATACTATCAGGAGATTAATACAAATTTATATTAAATACAAATTAATCTTACAAATAAAAAGATAAGCTATATATGGTGCAACGAAGTCAACGAAATATATAAAAAAAATCAAAAAAATCAAAAATCAAATTCCAAAGTTTAACTAAATTGTAAGGTAAAAGTTAAACTATGTTTACAATTTACTGTTGATTCCCTGCTTTGATTTAATAAGGAATTTTTATTAAATCTGATAATTTTCAATTTTTTATGTAAGCGTAGAAGACAGGGTTCATATAAAGATCTACATGTCCTTGCCGTTTTTAAATGTTTCCATTTTACCTTAGAAGTCTTTTTTAATCTTCAAAAATTTAGAAAGTGATGTATTATTTCTGTAAGTACTATTGTTGATACTATGTTGATACAACCTAGTCTTGAAAGAATTTTTAGTATTACCAATATAAAATATCTCAACCGTCGGATTCTCTATTGTAGAGAGAGTAGAATGATAAACAAGAGATTTAGTTAAACATTTGTTTGGCAATGGGCATTGGTCAGAAATCCTACAATTACATTGGTCAGTATCATTAATAATATTTATCTTAGAACGTGTATTATGATCCAGATTATTACACTGGTTTAAAATTTTATTATTGTGTAACTTTATAATCTTCTCAAGATTATTGGTGCAGCTATAACTTAGTTTTAATAGAATTTACAATCGCCTTATGAGACACGTTGACACGAGTTATCCGTTGAAACACAACTATGTTTGTGTAGCAATTTTACATACAATTTTACATATATATATATATATATATATATATATATAATGTGATGTAATGACTGGCCGCTCGTATTTGAGTATGCGTTCTTTCACTCACAGAGACCATCTGTGGTTTATACTACAACTATGCTGGGCGAATCTTCTGAAAGAGCGAATTATCTGGCGTGATCAGCAGTCTGAACAAGGCCAGTACGTTCGATCACTCGGTCATGCTGACTTTTGATTCATGCTAGCAGAACCATCGACGGTTTCCAAACATTTTAATGGTACGATTCTCATGCACTTTTTAAAGGTCCTGCACTCTGGGATCGCCTCCTCCTGGTCGATACTATTAAGAAGTCGCCTTCCTGACAAATCGACCACGGTGGGATTTGTACCCGCATTTTATGTTCGGAAAGCGAACATTCAAAATACACACACACACACGCACACACACACACACATATATATATATATATATATATATATATATATATAGAGAGAGAGAGAGAGAGAGAAATAAGTCATTTATGAGAGCGACAACGTATAGAAAGTGCCCTAATTTCTGAATTTATCAAAGCATATCGCCTTTCTAAACAAAATGTGGGAAATTTAAAAACAACAGTGTTAAAAACAAAACCCGTACAAAACTGAACAAAGTCGATTCGATTGTTTTTAGACTCATCAGGCACCAAAAATTTTATATTAAGCATCCCTGCATCTTCAGCGTTTCTCTCAATGTATAGCCATAACGGACTTTTGCCATTTTTTGTTCCCTTCCATTTCCTTCCATATCATGTTTCATATTTAATCTGAATGTGTCCTCTCAAATGATGAAGCGAAGCGCGTCACATTGACTTTTTTCTATTTTAACATTCAATTCCCCACGATAAACACACACACACACATACGCACACACACACACACACATATATATATATATTATTCATAACGCCAAAATTCGATAGGTAAAATACAAAAAATTGTTATTACGCATTCACTATCAACGTCGTCATATTTTTCATACAATTAATATACACTAATAAGGTCAATTTTTTTACGTCAACATTTCAAGAATTAAATATAAATACAGACTTCATGATGTATAGCTGTGACGTCTACACAACGAATGAAATCAAAACAATCATAGAATTTAAAAATAGAAACATAACTCCGCATTATTCCACTTCCCAAAATTTCTGAATATAAATAAATAGCGAAATATGTTAAATTTAGATATTTTCCAACTTGTTCCATATTTAATCAACTCTAAGTAAATATGTCTGCAGCTTCCAACATGTTCATGTACGTATATAAGTACATTTTTGAAAATATGTTACTGAATATGAAATGTTTCTCTTTATCCGTGTGTGAATTTCTGCTTTAGGGGCCATTTTTATTTCGTTCTTATTTATCAGCCGAGTCTGTATCTACGCATGCGCCTACCATGCACAACTGGGTCAATTCTGACAATGTCAAAAGCGACTACAAATTGGCCGTCAATTCTAATAAATTTGTGTTGGGAATATTTTGCTTTAAGGTATGTCTTCGTGGATATGCCTGGTTCTCATTCAAATTGACTGAAAGGTCGATTGATTGTGAGGACAGAGGGTCATAATTATGCTTGGGGAAGGAGAATCCTATGGCTATTTATTCATGGCTCAACAAAATATAGAAACCGACGCACACTTTTTTGACAGCATTATATATAATCTTGTAATACCTGTGGTATATACGAATTAGCGAAATTATAGTAGAAAGTCTATTAAAATTGATCTAATATTAACTCTAAAATGATTATATATCCACAAATTCTTTGTTACCGGATTTTTTTTCAAATGCAAAATTTAATACTTCTAAAATATATATTAACTTGTGTAAACCACGTGATGCTATATGATATATACCATGCTTTTTTTAATATCTGTCTATATATCTGAGATGAGGTATTATGATTACTTGCATTATTCGGACTGTTATCATCTTCATTGCCATATTCACAATGTTTCGGCC